AGCCAAACTTATAATTAAAATCTTTTAAAATTAACTAACCCTATTGATTCAGTAATATTTGCCAAATATTCTTGTTACTCTCTCACCTCAAATTAATATGTACAACTTGAGTGCACTGGGGATGTAGCATTATCTGTTACATTTATGGATATTTTATTTTAAAAACAAATAAATGAACACATAATACCAAGAGCATATTTCTAAACCAATGACATGTTTTTCCACATTTAAAATTTTCATTTTGAGTTTATTTGAATTCTTACAGGACTTTTTTGGGTAACTGTTTAATTGAAGTCAAGTTTCCTAACAATTACAGTACTGTAGTTTTGATTTGTACTTTCAATTGTAAGTTCTTCAAATTATTATGGAATGATGACACATCTTTTCAGAGGTGACTCACCTATAATCTAGCTTCATTATCTTTTAGGAGATAAACACTTCAATAAAAAAAAAGTCAAGGCATTTTGACTTGAAATATTTAAGCCAGGCAACTAATTTAGACATTGGCATGAGGAATACACATTGGCTTTTAAGAAATATTAAAACATTGTCAGTCTTGCTATTCTGAATAAGTCCTATCCACGCCATGTTTCTGGGAGTCTAAAACTCTGAGGTCTGGCAGAGATTCAGGAATTACTGTGAAGAACAGGCCTTATCGTACAAAACGAAATAACATTCTCTTTTTGTGTAATGTAGAAGCACCTGTTGTACTGCCCATTCTTTGGATAATTATTAGTCTACTGGTTGTTAAAATTGATTCTAAGTCATCCACTCAGAAAGGGAACCTTATGTTATATGTGAGATGAGGTGAATCAGTTCGCCAACTCAGATGCAAGAATTTAATTTTTATATTTTTGTAACTGCATTTAATTTCTATTTTGAGCCCCATTCCACCAAGGACACTAATTAACTCTCAGACAGTTCCAGTCTCCTTCCCAAAACAACCCCCCATATTTTCTCTAGGCTTGTGTCTAAGTCACCAGGCACCAGGGAGAGGGCCATCCTGACCTTAACAGACTTCTGTCCACCCAGGAGGCTGCCAAGACGCCCTCATGCCTATCATACCCTGGTGATCGTCTTCCAGAAAATCCCCACGCCCTTTATTAACACGGCACTGTCTTTTGAATTTGTAACTGTGTGTTGGGAACACCTGGCTCTTATGTGGAGCACTCTCAGGCTCTCTAAAGCCCACCTGCCTAAACAGCACATAGACATTTCTACCCAATGCTTTTGCATCATTCCGAGTTTGTAAGAAGTAAGACATGTCTCCAGGATTTGCAGATACCCTAAGTCATACTGGGATTCTGGCATTTCTTAGCTTGTCTTTTCTAGCATTTGACTGGGCTGATGTGAGCAGAGAGGTGTTTCCTCCCGTGGGTGCTTCAGCGTCTAACTTGTCTCCCTTCCCCCTCCAACTGTCTGCCTCAGTTTCAGAGGGTAACTGGGCTCTTTCTTAGTTCTTCAAATCATTTGTTTGTGGCATATGTTGGATTAAAGATGGTGGCTTTTCTCCCAAAGAGAAGTGAGGTAAAATTTCCCTCCCCTTGGGACTGGGCTGACCTCAGTGACTCACTTGAAACTTATAGACTATGATGACAATAATACTGTGTGGCTTTTGAAACTAGATCAGGAGAAGGGTGGCAGCTTCTGCTTTGGTCTCAGAACCCCCGGTCTCCAGATGCTTCCTCCCAGCTGCCATGCTGTGAGAAGCCCAAGCGACATGGAGAGGCCACTGGTCGGTACTTCAGTCAAGTGTCCAGCTGTGCTCTTAGCCACAGCTGCATCACCTGCCAGCCATGTGGGGGAGCCATCGTGGGCACTCAGCCTGGTAGAGCCTTCGGCTGACTCCTGCCCCAGCCAATGCCTGACTGACACTGCACGAAAGACCCCAACAAGAACCACTCAGCTGAGCCCTTCCCAATTCCTACACCACAAAATTGTGAGCAATATTAAATGACTGTTTTAAGCTGCTAAGTTTTGGGGTAATTTGTTATACAGCAATAGATCATCAAAACATGGCATATACTTTATGCTCTTTTAAATTCAAAATTCAGGCTTTTGCAAATCCACAAAGTCTCAGAATCCCTGTTTCTCTGACCATTCACTGAATTCAGAATTAATTGGGAGAGATAATAAGTAGAAGGAAATACGGTGAACAGGGTGGAGATACAGTGTCCAGAATCCTCAGTAGTCTGAAAACATCATCCCACCCCTAAGGGTATGACATTATATATGAGTAAGCGTTTTGTTGATGCTTCTCTTGCAAAGAAGGATGGATTTCAATTCTCAAAAGAGAAGTAATTAAATTACTGTTTTGAAAATAATATAATTTTCATACCTTATGTAGTCTCAGGGCTTGGAGCTTGCTGGGACTGTAACAGTAAGAAGTGGTAGGTGGGTGAGGAGAGGAATCAGTCCAAATGGCGTGCACACCGACTTTGTCACACAGTTTAGGGGGTAGGTACTCAGACATGAAGGGAAACCTCACAGAAAGCAGCACAGCATTTCGATTGGTGAATGAGGGGATCTGTTCGCTCCTTACATGCAGGCGCTGGCAGACACTTGCTTTCCATATCAGAGGAAGAGTGGATCCACCAGGCTTTTCCCAACGCAACACAGTAACATACTAAATACCATTTCTTGGTACAGCAGGTCCTCAAATAGTGTTGTTTAGGTTAACATTGTTTATGACATTGATGGATGTCATAGGAACCTAATTCTTGTTTATATCCATTAGCCTATAATAAAATAAGTTTTATTGTATATTGTTTTTCATCAGTTCCAAAAAATTATCGACATTAAGTGGGGACTTAGTGTACTCTTTTAATCTCTTCACTTGTCTCCATCCCACTGGCTTTGTTTTGCTTTCTTTACCAATTACCTTGTTCTGTTCCTCACTGTGTGTGACAAAATATGGTGGCCCCACAGTCCCAGAAATTGTTTCAGTTTGTCACACACAGAGCTGCCTCAGAGTCTCAATGCTAAATTCCTAGGATGAAATCTGGGTTTCAGTTGAATTGGGTGACTCGGTGGACCTGGTCAAATTAGTCATGGCTGGAAGGAGGGGGTCTGTATTGTCACCATGGCTGGCAGAGCCCATCGCTCCTATGCAGGAGGTGAGAGAGACTGAGTAGTTCTTGAAAAAGAAGAATCACTCTGAACAGGGCAGATGCTCCAAAGTTGTCTCCTGGGTAAAGTGTCTTCTATATAACAAAGGCTCAATAAATCATAGGTAGTATGAAAAAAGCATTAACGTTATCATTCTTAATTTAGGTTAATTACCAGAAAACACTCTCTATGGCAGGGAACATCTCAAAGACATTCACTAGGCAAAATTAAGATCGTCTTTCCTCCATGCCCGACTGACCGCATGATCTCACTCTGACCTGGCATCTTTACTGAGAACAGGTATCAAAGGATTTTGCCTGAGATTCCTATTTGGTTATTTTTCTTTCTTTCTTTCTTCCCTTAATTGAATTACTGATCATTGAAAGTTGAAGAGCCCCCTTGAACATCAGGTGGGAAAGGTAACTGAATGCAAGTGTATGGACTCTGCCGTCATCAGTCGGGAGCTCCACCCACCACTTTGTGTGAAAAAGGGTTTCGGTGTATTACGCGAAGTGAAACAAGTCAGGTGGAAACGGACAAAAACTGCACGATTTCACTCAGGTGTGGAATATACAACCAAACAAGAAACAAGTGACAAACAAAACAAAAACACACCCATAGACACAGACAACAGGGTGGTGGTTACCAGAGGGGAAGGGGGGGTGTGTGTGTAAAATGGGTACATGGGGTCAACGTATGGTGATGGATGGGAACCAGACTTTGCGCAGTGAGCGCACTATACTTTGCACGAAGATAAAATTATAATGTTGTGCACCTGAAACTTACATAACATTATTAACCAACGTTACCTCAATTTAAAAAATAAAATAACAAAGAAGGTTTGAAATCTCACAGCATTGCACAGAGCCAACAGGGCCAAAATTGCAGTTTGAGAGCTCTAATGGGTCTTGGCGATCATTCAGTCCAAATTTCTCCTTAAGGGTGAAAAATGGAGGCCCAGAGAGAGGAAACGCCTTCCAAAGAGAATACAACCATCGGTGAGAGAACTGGGCTGGGATTCTGGCCTCCTGATGTTCAGTCTTGGGCCTGAAAATGCCTTGGACATTAAAAGTCATAACTATGCCTTAAAGTGGTGATTTGAGACAAAATAATTTTTGTTTCAAAATTATTACTGTTTGAGAGAGAGAAGGAGAATGAATTATCTGCTCCTGAGGTGGAATTCTAGCTTAAATAATCCTACTTTCCAACCTCTTTCATTAATAATTGAATATTTAAATGTCAAAGATGACTTCAGTATATAGAGAAAACACTAAAATGGGGGGGGAAAGGGTTTAAAACAGAACAACTTTTATTTGAATACTAAATACGTTCTTTTAGTACAAAGAATGCTGAGAATAAAATTTTTTTTTTTTTGAAAAAAGTAATATTTATTTTATTTTTTTATTTTTTATTTTTTGTTTAAAATATTACAGATGTCTCTTTTTCTCCCCAATGACCCACTGAGAATGAAATTTTTTAAAGAAAAATAATGCTGGCAACAATGCAATTAAAATGGAAAACAGCCCAGCCGGGCATGGCTCAGTGGTTGAGCGTCGACCTAGGATCCAGGCGATCAGGGTTCGATTCCCCGTCGGGGCACATGCCCGGGTTGTGGGCTCGATCAATGACTCTCTCATCATTGATGTTTCTATCTCTCTCTCTCCCCCTCCTTTCTTCTCTCTGAAATCAATAAAGATATGTTTAAAAAAAAAAAAATGGAAAACATATCATTTCTAATATAATACAAATGACATATAGATACATCAGCATTCTGTGAAGTCCACTTAGGGCATTCCATTATCTGATACGCTGCAGTTTCATTCCAACTCCCTTCAGATGAGTATTTGGAATTATCAAAAAAAACCCACATATATAAAACTGAAAACAGCAAATGAAAAAGTGTATCCCAGTTTATTAAGTATCTTTAATGAAAACAGTACCTGACAATTAGAAAACAAAGTTTTCTTTAAAAACACACACAAAAAACACACACCACCTCGGACTAGTGTTCATATCGGAGGTGACAGGGTTCCTTTTGTTTCTAATATTAAATAAGACACTTAACATTCCATATTGAAATTTATCTTCTGACTTCCAGGAGTATGCTCTGCCCGTTAGTGTGGAATGACACCGGTTTAGTTTTCAGTTCCTCCGGATTCTCAGAGCAGCAGTAAGACAAGTCTCAGGATCATCATGAGGCTGGAGGGAAAAAAAGGCAAAGGAAGGTGGCTCTTAGGTGGCACCAGACAGCAAGGGCCCCGCGCTCCCCTCACCTGTGGTGTGACTAAACTCTGGCGCAGGGCCTGCTGCGACTTCCGCTCCTTACAGTGGGGGCGATCTCCTGAACCCTCAATTCAAACTTCCCAGCCATGACTAAACTAGACACTTTAAAATGTTCACTCACTGAATGAGAAAAATCAGAACTCACGGTTCTTAAAACGTGGGATGAAGCTTTGTGAGAGAAAGGTGTCTAAAGAAACAAAAAACTTGCAAAAGCTTGTAAAGTTAGGCAAGTTGAAAAAAATAATCACAATTTTGAGGAGTTACTGCCATCGCAGCTACTTTTCATTCATTGGGGTCTTGTCTTTTTTTTTTTTTTAATAAACATGTTTTATTTGTTTTCCTTATACCATCAGAACTGAAACTACTGACTGTCGTTTCCCTAAAAATAGGGACATCAACCTAAAACACATACTGGTGCTTTTCAAAAGATAGCAATTTCAAAGGGTGGCAGCAGCAGGCATTTCATATCTTCGGGGTCTTGTCTTCTTGACCCGTGAACCCTACTTCTGACTTTCTCCGCCACCAAGTATCATTTTTAGACAGGCCTAAAACTGGAAAGCAGTCTTTGCAATCACACTTTTCCTTCCCAAACCACAGATATATACGTAGCCACACTGGAAAATTCTACAGAGCAGGAGGAGAAAAGTACTCACTACACTGCCACCCAGAGACACACTCTTAACAGCTGGAGGTACTTCCCTCCTGATCTTGGTTTTTTACATAAAAACTTTTTAAAATTGAGACCACAGTATGTTTGTTTGTTTAATCCTTTTAAGAAATGTCTTCTTATGTCACTAAGATTTTTCCAATGCCACTAAATAGTTTTGAAAACATGACATGTATTGCCTGCTCAATATTCCATTAAGTAGACAAAACATTTACTGAAACATTTCCTTACTGGCGAATTTTTAGGTTGTTTCTAATTTTTCAGTTTATCACGTTTTGCATGAGGAATAATGTTGCAATAAACATCAGTAATTATATGCATCTCATTATTTCTTCAAAATAAATTCCAAAAAGTAAAAATGTGTATCAAAGGAAATGAACATGTTTATGGCTTTCAATATGTAAAGGCAGCTTCCAGGAAGAATTAAAAATGTAGCCTATTCATTTTTACTTGGTAACATGCTTAATCTCATTCATAGAATTACTGAGATTAAATGAAGAGAAACTTGAGGCTCCCTACTGATCTATTTAACAAATATTGTTTTCGTCCTTAAAAACTCAAAATAACCAGGAGACTGTCACTGTCCGAGTCTCTAAAAGCATGAGTATCAGATTTAAGTGAATACATTTACTGTCTCAGATGGGTAAATCTTGAGAAAAAACAAGGCCTAATTTAGTTCTTTATCCTGAAAATGGCAGTGTACATGTGACCAAATACTACAGCAACACTAAGTGTATTCCATAAAAGTGTTTATGTGCACGTCAACGCCAAAGACTGACTGAACGCATGACATTTTAAGGTTTCACAGTCATGCTTATTGCAAAAAAAATTACTTTGACATTTCAAATTAAAGCTGACTTTTGACAAAAATTCAGCGCTTCAAAATGATGGCAGAGGAAAACAGAAATCAAAATAGTTTTTCTTACCTTAAGCCTGCCATCAACCCAGCTGGCATGATTTTTTTGGATCTCTTAAAGCGCACCCCCATTATGGTGGCCAGAAAGAAAGCTGTAACTAAAAGACAAACCAATGCGTGAACCGGCTTGCAAACACATTGTCAATGCCTGCTTCTGAAAGAAGGGGTATTGTTTCAGCTTTAACATAACTATTATGCATAGGTATTGAGTTGCTCTTTTCTCCAAAAGAGGAAGTGCTCTGTTAAAATACTTAAGCCCATTAAAAAGGTTTGCATAAACAAGCACGTCAAAATCCATCCTTGAAATCCCTTTAAAAGAAAGTCTTTTTCTAACTTAAATTTCTATTTACAGAATACTCCTTAATGACCAGGACTGCTGGCTTATTGGTCTTTCCTCAGGAACACTGGGCGGTTTACCTGGACCCAAAGGAGACACTCAACAAATGTACTGGTAACTGAATGTAAGGAAAATAATTAGCATTTTTCCTTAAGTAAGACCTGATTAATAAAATAATACTATTTTGGTATTTAGAAGAAGGTTGACTTTTTTGTTTTGTAGCATTTCATGTTGGGAGATTTGATGCCTGGAGACTAAATAACAACAGACCAAGCAATAATATTAAATTTTATATTATTTAAATTTAGCATATCAACTACCCCCCAGGTTCAATTCTCCATAGCTGGGGAAAATGCCTTACTTACACAGAGACACTTTTACATCTCGTCTGTCGTTGGAGACACGGTAAGCTCCATAGCCAGCCAAAAATCCAACAAAAAGACCAGCAATCAAAGAGGGAACACCACCTGTGGGGTAAAAAAAGTATGGGCTCAGAAAGAGAATCAGAAAGTGACAGGAATTACTTCAAGTATGATACACACACCTTCAAGTGTAATTTTACTTGGCCATTGCGACATGACAAAAAGCCAAACTGAACACAGGCCTTTTCGGTCTGTAAGAAATGACCAAATCCCAAATGCAAGGGAGAGGAACCCTGAACGCACAGCAAAGCAGGGATTACATGCTGCAGGGGTTACCCAATGCACTGGGTTACATGCTGGTGACACTGAACAAGACACACACTGTCCTTGCTTCACAGAGTTCACTCTATTTAGAATCTGCTGGATTGGAATCCCTAGGAGTTGGGTCAAGGTAGCTCTATTTTTTAAATATCCATAGAATTTCAGAATGTAACCGTAATTAAGAACCATTCAGCAGCAACACACACCAGCACACACACACACACTCATACACACACACATCAGCAGCATCCTAAATGAGAAGCCAAATGCCCTAGGTTTTAGTCTGAATACTTTTACCTATTGCCTCAAGAACTTTAGCTAAGTCACTTGGCCTCTCTGAGTTTTATCAGTCGCAAAACAGGGTTAATAATATTACCCATGTCAAATATATAAAGGCTTAGAATGTTACAGTTAGGAATAATATTAAATTTTTCATTGCTCACTCCCAAAATCCATCTATTCTCTAAACACAGAAACATGATCTTTTAAAAAACATACATCTGGACAGGTCACTCCTCTCATTGAAGGCCCTCTGGCTTCCCACTGCACTTAGGAAAACCCCAAGTTTGCTCTATTATTGGCCTTCCCCCAGTTCCCTGAATATGCCAAACCCTTTATTCCTCATGGTTCCAGACATGCTGTTCCTTGCCTGGACTGTCCTTCCCTGCACTGTTCACCTGGTCAACTGCAGCTCCCCTTCAGACGTTGTCTTAAGTGTTAAATCCTCAGAGATACCTTCTCTGACCATCATTCTGAATGAGGGCCCCTTTATAGTCTCCCATTGTTCCTCATTGGATATTTAATGTCCATCTCCCCCACTCACTCGTGAGCACCATGTCCTTTTTGCTCACTGCTGTTTTCCCAGGGCGGCACCGGCTAAATACTGATGAAATGCATGCCTGGGCGCTCCCTGTTCTGCGGCAAGCAGAAGGCAGGTGAGAATATTGTTAAGGAGAATATTTTACTTAATCCTAATTTACAAATGAAAAATTGAGGCCCAGAAGTTCAAATCACACACAAGAGTATGAAAGCTAGGTTAGGGTTAGTGTCGAGCAGAATTCAGGAATGCATGATTCTGTGGCCTGTGCTCTTAACCCACATTATGCTACGAGTGGGCTTCTTTGTGAACACACAATACCCTCAGGGGCTTCCCGGGTCACTTAGTGGGGGGCTCTTGTAGGAGGCCAAGGAACCATATTGTGCAGTTGGGCAACAACCCCTAAAATTAGAGGCCTTACAGCTAACGTGATTTCATATGTTTCTGATGAGATTTGGGCTAGGATAGTGAATTTATCCCCTCCCCTCCCCTGCCCCAGCACGCGGGTCAGCGCGCACACTTCTTCCCACCCCTCTTAAAGTCAGGCAAAAATGTCCAGACGCTCTTTCCTGTTCCACAGCACAGGTTATTTAAATGTGTCTTTGACAGTGAAAAAAATTTTCAATAACAATCCCATCAGCATTTTACACTGAATCCTCTTTAAAGTAGATTATAAAACATCCCCTTTTACGCAGTTGTTTGCAGGTTTTAATTTGGGGCCATCATTTTTTCCCCATCATACACATATCCATGATGCTACACATACTGAGAGAGAAAATAAGAACAACAAAAATCTAAGGTGAATTTCAGGCTCTCAGCAATCACAGCAGAGAAATTGTTCCCCTGCCAGCCCCTCGCCCCTGGGGAGACCTGTGCTCTGGCCTTGGACTTCTCAGCAATCTCTAAGGAACAAAGGAACTGATAACTGCATAGACCTGGCTTTTGCACTCAAATTCAAGTCCACCAATGCCACAAATGTAACACTCTTTAAAATATACTTCATTTAAAAAATTTCATAAAAATATAAGAGCAGTACGAGACACCATGACTATAAATGTTTCTACATTAAAACAAAGTAAAATAAAACCTGACCTTATATTTTTCTCCATAAAAACCCTTTAATTTATCAACTGGGTGTGTTTTTTTCCTTCTTTTAGATAGAGATGGAGAGGTAACTTTAGATTTGATATTTAAGTAGTCAACAAATTTTCCTTTGCAACACAAAATATCAACATAATTCAGTTTTTTTATACTATGACTATGTAAACAAAAAATTTCCTCATTTGATAACAAGGGAGTAGCCCTAAGGTGGTTAACTCAATTAATTATGCAATCGATACTGATGGGTCAAATTAGAATTTTGTAGTAGAGGGGGACCCAGAACCCAGGTTGAATGCTCTACATGCCCAGCCCCACGTAACACAAATCCCTTCCACTGCTGGTCCCCAGCCACCTCCAGGACATCTTTAGCTTCTTGTCCTACTTCCAGGCCCTCAGCTGATCCTAACACAATCACCAGCCCCACCGGGCCATTTTGATGAGAAATCTGGTCTGGGCTTACCTCTCCGCTTATATCCCACAATACTTCCGAATGTCACAAGGGCTGCATAACCAAAACCAACAAGGTCCATTGGCAAGGCTGCAATTGTAGAGCAAGAGGGAAGGGACACATTTTACAAAATAAAAAGAGTTCAGGAGAGCAAATGTATATAAAAAAGATATGCATTACCCAGAATTATAGAAAATAATTTCTCTACTAAAAAAGGGAAACCAGATCTTCACCTATCAAACACTCGACCACTGTGCCCCATGCTCATCCCTCTCAAGCCCACTATGGGGACACCCAGGTTGATTTTCCTTATCATCCAGACCTGCTGTACTCTCAGGTGTTTACTTCCCCTCTACTTCCCCTAGTAAGAATTCTGCTCTGGTTAGCCAGGTCTCCTCACTGCAGACAAGGCCACAATCTTCTCTTTTCCCTTCATGCTTGGAATGTCCCTGCTCTCTCCCACCTACAAACCCCAACCACCCCCTATACCCCACCCCCCTCTTGACTACCTCCCAACCTCCTTAACCACTCTCGTCTGCACCGTCCAACTGGTCTGGAACCAACTACTCTTCTTCCTCTATATTCCTTGACTTTAGCAACTCTATCCTGTAATTCTTTCATCTTTGTATAGATATTTATCCCTCCATCATCCTCACACCAAAGAATGGAAAAGAGGTAATGGAGATACTTGTTTTTCAATTTTTTAATTTTTTTAATTATTATTTTTAAAATTTATCTTTATTGTTCAAAGTATTACAGGTATCCCATTTCTCCCCCCCCAATTGACCCCCTCCACTTTGCTCCCACCCCCTCCCCAGGCCTTCACCCCGTTATTGACTGTGTCCATGGGTTATGCATATAACTTCTTTGGTTAATCTCTTCCCACCTTCCACCCCCCCTTCCCTCCTCCCTCTGAAATATGACCGTCTGCTGCATGCATCAATGTCTCTGGATCTATTTAGTTTGTCAGATTCTTTTGTTCATTAGCTTCTTCTTAAAGAAGACCCTTCAACATTTCCAGTAGTGCTGATTTGATGGTAATAAATTCCTTTAGCTTTTTCTTATCTGTGAAGCTCTTTATCTGACCTTCAGTTCTAAGTGATAGCTTTGCAAGGTAGAGCAATCTTGGTTGTAGTTTCATGTTTTTCATCACTTTGAATATTTCTTAACACTCCCTTCTGGACTGCAAAGTTTCTGTTGAGAAATCAGCTGACAGTCGTATGGGTGCTCCCTTGTAGGTAACTAACTGCTTTTCTCTTGCTGCTTTTAAGATTCTCTCTTTGTCTTTAAACTTTGGCATTTTAATTATGATGTGTCTTGCTGTGGGCCTCTTTGGGTTCCTCTTGTTTGGGACCCTCTGTGCTTCCTGGCCTTGTAAGTCGATTTCTTTCCCCAGGTAGGGGAAGTTTTCTGTCATTATGTTTTCAAATAGGTTTTCAATTTCTTGCTCTCCTTCCTCTCCTTCTGGCCCATAATAGGAATGATGGGCCTCTTGACATTGTCCCAGAGGCTCCTTATGCTATCTTCATATTTCTCGATTCTTTTTTCTTTTTGCTCTTCTGGTTGGGTGTTTTTTGTTTCCTGGTGTTCCAAATTGCTGATTTGATTCTCAGCATCCTCTACTCTACTGTTGATTCCATGTAAATTATTCTTCATTTCAGTTCCTGTAGTCTTCATTTCAAATTGGTACTTTATTACGTCATCGATTTTCTCGGTTGTTTTCATAATAATATGCTTGAGCATCCTTATAACCATAATTCTGAACTCTGTATCTATTAGCTTGCTTGGATCTATTTCATTTAGTTCCTTTTCTGGACATTTCTTCTGTTCTTTCCTTTGTGACATGTTTCTTTGCTTCCACATTTTGGCTGCTTCCAGGTGTTTGTTTCTATATATTAGGCAGAGCTACTATATCTCCTGGAATTTGTAGAGTGGCTTTGTGTAGTAGGTGTCCTGCAGGGTCCAGTGGCTCAGCCTCCCGTCACCTGAGCTGGGCCTTTTAGGTGCTCCCCTATGTGGGCTGTGTGCACTGTCCTGTTGTAGTTGAGCCTTGGTTGCTGTTGGGGTCACTGGGAGGAATTGACCCCCAGGCCAACAGGATGTGAGGACCAGCTGCAACTACAGCCAGAGAGCTGCTGTGCTGGAGACACCCCTATGGAGCAGGATTTACTTCAGTGGGGCTTTGGTGTTCACCAAGTGCGCCCCTTGAGTGTGTCACTCGTGGATGTGGTACGATTGTAATCCAGAGTGGTCAAGTCTGACCACCAAGTGCACTGTCTTGGGGCTTCCCGGAAGGTGCAAAGTCAGCCTGTGCCTTGCCCAGGGCCACCCAGCATGAGCTACACAGCAAACTGTAGCTGGCTGCTACTTGTGCTGGGTTTGGAGGTGGCCAGGAGAGGCCAAGCCATGAACCTTGCAGGCTGCCACTAGTGCCAGGCCTGGGGCCACTTATCAAGCCATATGGGGCCTGCTGCTGCTTGTTTGAGAGATTTTAGGAAAGTCCTAAGCATGAGGCTCGAGAGGCCACTTGCACAGAAAAGCCCCTGGAAATGGCCTGGATGAGCTGCAGGTGGGGAGGGGCGGGGCCTCCGGGAATCACGGGGCGGGGCCGAAGGTGAGAGTCAGGTGCTGGCGACTCAAACATGGCGCCTGCCTGCCGGCTGTGTGCGGGGAGGACTCGCCACAGGAGCCATGGCCTCTGCCAGCCCTTCTGCCTGGGAGGAAGCCGCCCCCCCCACCTCTCGCCCCGACTTCAGGCAGGTTAGTTCCCCCCAAAGTGTCCCAGGTCCTTTCCAGCTGTTGCCCGGCGCTGGGCTCAGAGGGAGCATGTCTGAGTCCGTGCCGGGCCCTTAAGAGGAGCGGCTGGGGCTCCGGCAGCCTCCTCGACCCTCAGCGACAGTCCCCACTGGTTTCACAGCCCGGAGTTGTGGGGACGTCTCTTCCCAGCCCTGGAGCCCTGGGCTGGGGGCCTGCTGTGGGGCTGGGCCCCCTCACTCCTCTGGGAAACCCCACCGCCGAGATTTCCTCCTGGGTTTCAACCGCGGCACCGGGTGTGGGCCCGCGGCCGCGTCTCCGGGATTCAGCCCCGATCCGCCCGCGTCTCCGCCCCTCCTCCCGGTCTGGATGCTCCTTCAGTTCCCTGGTTGTGGGGCTTCTGTTCAGCCAGATTTCAGGAGGCTCTGAGTGATGGTGGTTCTGTATTTTAGTTGTAATTTTGATGTANGGGGCTTCTGTTCAGCCAGATTTCAGGAGGCTCTGAGTGATGGTAGTTCTGTATTTTAGCTGTAATTTTGATGTGGTTGCGGGAGGCGCGGGTGCAGCTGTTACCTACGCCGCCATCTTGTTTCTCCGACGCTTGTTTGTTGATTTAACCACAGATGCATTTTAAACATTTGCTTTGTCAGGGGCTTTATCATGAAACAGCTCTTCTGGGGTGGCAGAGACAGCCACCCTTAATCAGTGGTAAATCACTAAAGAATATAATGAAGTTGACTGAATGACAACGATACTCTGTTGTGCATCGATCGCAGCAGCAGGTGAAACATACACCCAGGGCTGAGGTTCCACTGAATCCTGCCCACAGGTCTCTAAGGTGCAGGAGGAAGTATGCAGGCTACCGGCTGGAGACAGGACGCTGGTCACTCGCTGGCTGTTGGTCCTCACATCACACCTCATCCTTAACACCAGCTCCTCTGAGAGTCCTTGTGGTGCTTTATATCCTACCTTTTTTATATATCTATATTTCCTCCATGGGGAAAATAATTCTCTCTATATATACAAGGAATGATGTACAGGATTTCATTGCATTTTCATAGTTTTCTCACTGCTTGTCATTTAGGTTAATTGGTCTTTTACTTCCTGTAGCAATTCGTAAGAAATTGACCCAGATGAACGGAAAAGGGTTCTGAGTTTATCTCAGAGAGTAAGTGAGAACTTACTGTGAGAAAGGGTCTTGTGGAAGGGAATCCGAGGCACAGGTCGAGACGACAGCACTGAAAAGAGGTAGCACTGAAAAGGAGGTCACACTCAAAACCCCTCAATATCTGTGGAAAGAATAATTAAATAAAACACGGGAGCTCATCTGTGCCCAAGAAGTGGTTCAATGGGACGGTGTAGGAAGGACTGTGTTCAAAACCACTGACTAAAGGATGGATAAACAAATAATGAGGACAATGTTTACAAGCAATTACCATGTGCTAGGCACCATTCTTTTTTTTTTAATAGTCAATTTTTTTAGGCACCATTCAGTTATCACCACAACACTATGAAGTAAATACTACTATTACTATCCCCATTTTCCAGATGAAGAGACTGAGGCACAGAGACTGCAAGCAACACCTGTTAGGTCACACAGCAGAACCAAGATTTCAGACTAGGAGAAGTCTCCTTCCTAACCACTAGCAATCATACCTCTCATAACTGAGTTTGCTGGCTGAAAAAAGTGAATATGCAAATGAAACTGATGCTCTTCAGAGTTTTAAATTCTGGATTAAGCGCTTCCGCTTGGCCTCGGAGCTTAAAGTTGTGAGCGCGCTGCACTGTCTTCCGCTGGGGGACTTACCATCTTCAGCCCTGTGAGCATCTCATGTTCAGTCCTACTTACTGTCCTTCTGAAAGAGTTAATAACATTCCACAATGCATGCGTGGCTTCAAGCCTGATGCCACCACTTACTAGCTGTGTAAAAGGTACATCCTTTAATCTCTGCAAAACTCAGTTTCTCCATCTATAAAACAGGGATAATAAAAATATCTACCTCATAGAGTTGTGGTAATTAAATGAGTTAATACTGTAAAGCACTTAGAACAGTGCTTGGCACAAACCGAGCTCTCAGCAAATACTAGCTGCCCTAATAATGACTATTCTTCTTTGCCTGTACATCCAATTTTAAGCTTGATGTGTAATGACGCCACTGAGAAAACAATTGAGGTAAATTTATAATTCAGGCATAGTTCAATAAATCAAACCATAATATGACAACTTACATTTATACTGAATTCCATTTAGCAAGTATTTATTGAGCATCTTCTTTGTGCAAGGCAGTAGGAAGCAATGAAAACCCTCCGAACATGGCCCTGGTCTTCCAGGACTTGTAGTACAGCACAGTGGAGGAGGCAGATATGTGAATGAGCCCCAAGAGGAGAGGCATGGGACCTAATGAGGCTTGGCATCCTAAGGAAGGATTCCTGGAGGAAGCAGGGTCCCAACTGGGACCTTGGAGAGAGTAGAAGTAAGCCAAGGGTAGCAAGAAAGGGTGTGTTGAAGGCAGAAGAAAGAACATGTGCAAAGGCCCAGTGGCATGAGAAAACATATGTTTTCAAAATGGAAAGAGCTGCAAGGAGGTTGTGAAAAGAGATGGGGCTGGTGAGAAAGACAGGGCCAGACCAGCCATGTGAGGGGGTCTGGTTTCTGTCCCAAGGGCAGTGAGGGATGAATGAAGGGAGCCCCACAATCAGATTTAATTCCAGCAAGCACTTTCTGGCTGCAGTAGCGGGAAATGTGTTGAAGTGAGGCAGGGAAATAAGCTGAGAGGCTGTTGCAGTAAACTAAGCACGAGATAATGGTAGCCTGGCCTGGCAAATGGCAATGAGGGTGGCGAGAGGTGGACAGATATGAGATGGGTTCAGGAGGCAGAATCAATAAGCCTGGACGTAGAGGTGAAGGGGAGGTCTCTGGCTTGAACCACTAGGAGAGGAGTGGGCAGGGGAGCCTTGATGCTATTCCCTGAAACGAGGGACACTGGAACAGCAGGAGGTGTGTGGTAGGGGAAGGAGAGAGGTGACCAGGAATGATGAGACCTATGTGAAACATGTTCAATCTGAGATGCCTGACACAGCCAGGAAAACACATATCTACAGCTGACGCTTATGAGAGAGATCACTCACCACCAGATAGTAATCTGGGGACCTAATTTTCTTCGTAAACCAATTACCTGGTGTGAAAGGTTGATTCTTCTCCCTCCTCCAAGCCCTCATTTCTTCCTCTGATGCTCTCTTGGGGTCCCCTCTTCTACCTAGCATAGAGTTAGTTATACGGGCTTAACTCGACTCTCAGCCAGTCAAGCTCCTTGAAGGTAAAGCTCAGGTTAAACTCATTTTTGTCTTTCTCACATGATCAAGCTCATTGCCATGCACAGGCAGGTGGTTAGTAAATACTTGCTGAATTAATGAGTGATGAGTGAACCTAAGGAGCAACCTGTCTGAAGGTGCTGTGTAACTGACCTCCCCTCAGTATAGCTCTAATGCCAGGAAACAGCCAGTTCCTTAATCCATTTAGGGAACTGAGCATTGTTCTAAGGAGGCAAAATAAATCTATTTCCAACCCTTGCAAGAAGTTTCTGTAGGCACAGAGAAAATTCACACAAAGAGCACTCACCCCTCTTGCTCATTTTCTGTGGCAGGACCATGTAAGCAACCCAGAAGCACACATGAGGAGCCAGAGGCTGCGTCAACAGGAAAGGGATGGGGGTGGGGGGTGATGTAGGAGGCATCACTGGATCCCATGGCAAAGGAGATGCTCAGCACTTAGAAAGACCAGAAAGCATCTTGGGCGCAATGCAGCAAAATGACTTACTGCACCAGGTAACAGGGCCCAAAACCAGGTGACAGGGCCCTGCTCTGCCCGGAGCCCTCCAAAATTTGGGGAACCCACTAAGAGATGTTCAATCAGCTACATACAAAAAGCACGTTCACATGTTGAGTAGCAACAATTCCTTAACTTTGCACTCCTTGGGGCTCGAAAGGCACATTTTCCAGTGAAGTCTGGGTGGGGCCAGGAAGGTTAAAACCCTGCCAAGCACGTTTGCAATGATGCCTATCTCCACCGCTCCCTGGCTCCAGGAAGGTAGGAGGCAGGGCGGGTGGGAGATTCGGGGCCCTGAGAAGGAAGAATCTGGGGAATTCCCCGGACGATGAGCGAACTGATTCCTGGGAGAGCGGAGCCCATCTCCTGAAAAAAACCTGCCAAGGTCCTCTGCATGGTTGCTCGTCTGCTTATTTCTGCGCCTTTGCAAGAAAATTCAGGGCAGCAATTGCTCCACAGAATGGCGTCCAACTCACCTGCAGCTCAAGCCCTCCTCGCGGGAGCCAGCGGGAGCCAAGATCGTTCCTGGGGTCGGGAAGTGGTCCGGCGGCGGGCGCTTCAAGTTACCGGCACCCGGCGGCGAGGCTGGTTGGGGCGGGGCCGTCCCCGGGGCGCGCAT